CGTCCGTCTGTCTAGACCGTTTTTCTCAGGAACGCGTGAAGGTAACAAACTGAAATTCATATTTAATATTTGGGTCTACTCTCCCTTGGAGCTGTGAAAAAATCAAACTTCTAAGTCAAAGCAATCAAAAGGAACAGCTGTTTATGGCGAAAATTTTCGAAACTCGCACGGGAATCAAAAGCTACAGGGTACTTCCCGTGAACTTAGAATCTTGAAATTTGGTACGAAGTAACGTCTTATAATACAGATAAAGGAAAAATTGCGAAAGCCGTAAATTTTTAGTTACATCATATAATAAAAAATACTTTTGAAAATTTTAAAGTTACTACCTATTTTATTATGAACGCGTAGAGGTATTAAATTGAGTTTGTACGGAACCCTCGGTGCGCCAGTCCGACTCGCACTTAGTCGGTTTTTTTGTTGTTACTTCTGGCATTGCTGATGGGATTTTTGAGCTTGGTAAATTCGACATCACGCGGTCGTCTTGAAATTCGACCTATTTGTGTTTGAGCTTGACAGAGTATAATTCTATATTCATTGTGTTAGAGGCCAATACACAAAAGGTACAATGGTGGTTTTGATTAATCATACAAAATGATTAGCTTTCTTTTTTGTATATTAACAAAATTCGCACACACCTTGCGCAAAAAAGGATACAAAACATATTACAAAAATATTTCCTTATCTGTACGTGATAATATTATAAATATTTTTTTTAAATTATTTATTAGCTCACAAAACAAGTTACAATTATAAAAAAAAAACCAAAGCAATTACAATAATACAAAACCAAACTGTAACTCTAAATATGTGGGCATATCATGATTAAATTTTTATGGGCTGAAGTTTACACTAAAGAAAGAAAAATATATAAATTGAATTTCAACAATTATCAAACAAAAAAAAAGTCACTTAAATAAAATAAAAATAAAAATTAACCGATTTTTCTTTAACGAAGTATTAATCGTTGGATTTCTTTCCGAAATTCCGATTTAAAGTTTTGGGGTTGTGTGTGGGAATATTCAGTTACTATGAGCGGACATTAAGCATATTAATGAACTTTCTATTTTCCAACATCGTTAATGGTGGCCACATCCTGAACTTTGGATAAAAGTTTACGTTACGTTAAGCACTCCTCGGATGTGGTTTAATTTGGATATCGTATTCCCCAAACTTTTTACTAAATACTACAACTGCTGGTTATATTTGTAAGATGATCAAAGTCCATTCATTAGCTATCACGCCGTTTATTCTTGAAGTGAATCGATGTTCTTGTTAAAACCGTTTGCCTACTTTTTTCTTGGGGCTGTATTCTTGAAATTGCTAGCCGATAGGCAGGGTCGGATTTAGGATTGTGGAGGCCCCGGGCCACTTAGGATTTGTATTGCTTATTGTTGTTATTTCTTAAGCTGTTGTGGAGGCCCCTGGGCCACAGCCCCACCTGCCCTGCCTTAAATTCGGCCCTGGGTAAAGGTAAAAGAGCAAAAAAAAAACTAGTGTTGACTAGTGTTGACTAGTTGTAATTTGAAAGATATTTTTTTCCGAAGTCTATTGTGGGGCCCCCCGTTTGTGGAGGCCCCAGGGCTTTCGCCCCGGTTGCCCTCCCCTAAATCCGGCAGTGCCGATAGGCGATGTATCTTGAACTTCGGTAGTGTGATATCCTACTCTACGGCATTAGAAACTTTGCAAGTTTGTATAGGGCGGTCGACAAGGATACTAGATACATGGAAAGTCAACTTTAACATGTGGCGGCGACATCTATATGCCCCAAATATAACTAACATGGAGGAAATAATCACTCGCCTCCTCAAGAGATGGCGCTACAACGTAAGGAAGCCTACATCGCGCAAGTGAAATTCGGTATCCAACAGTTCATATATACGATGCCCGACCAACTTCAGTCGGGCCGCGGCCACCGAGCTGACATCACCCAGCTCGGAGGAAGATCTTCGAGCTGGGTGATGTTAGCTCCTAAAAACAGCACAGGTGCTGGCAGAACACTATTAAGCAACTACATAATTTACGTTTCACTCTTAATTAAAAGCATTAGACTTAGTACATTACGATACGCGTGACCTAAGTTGCCTATTACCTATGCCTCGCTCCGCTCGGGCGCTAACTTCACGCCGTGCAGTAATAGACAACTTAGGCTACAAGTATCGTATACTATTTTATAGCAAGTGTGACATAAACCCGCCCCGGACGCGGGCAAGAGGGGGGGGGGGGGGGGGGGTTCCGGGGATGTGATTAGTGTTTTGAAAGTAAAATTCATGTATTGCAATCACAAAGAATTGCAATACAGACTGCAAGTCAAACTGAAAAGAAAGAATTCCGGTTCAGATTACCATTTTGAAAGTATATTTCAAAAGGAAAAAATCAAATATCATTACAACAAAATAGAATTTCAATGTATCCATGAACGTTTATTCCTTGATTGGCATACTAAAGTTAAGTTACGGGTATCGTAATGTACTAATTCTACATGAGTGAAGTTGGTCAATTCATTTACACACCGTGCAGAAATAGGCAACTTAGGTCACGGAAAAGCGTGCGTAAAGTGCGGGTTTAGGTCACACTGTGCTATAAAATAAATTACATAATCGGTTTTTAACAGTCTTCAATACAAATTACGCTCACACAAGCTTATCGAGATATGCTTAATATGCAGTAGTTTAATCGATTTGCCTCGTGTTTGACTGGACTAGCTACCGAGAAGCGATAACAGATCATTGAACTCTTGTAACAACAGGTGTTATGTAAAATACACGCATTCTTCTCTTGCATTACTTTTTCCAAGATTTTTATCAAGAGAATTACTGCTTGAAACTACAAACCAAATACTGGTCATGGTTTAATGCTTCTATTTTTAACAGAAATGTTTTTTTCCTCCAAAACTTTCATTTCTACAGATTTTGGGTTAATAGTAGGCACTTGGTCGTTAATATACCTTTATGATAGTATATGAAGTAGTGCGTGTTGACACGCTATATAACATTAGCTAATGCAACCAACTATGAGCCATAAAACATAGAAATCAGAAATCAATATATCTTTATTCAAATTGGATGTAAAGTGAAACTCTTTTGAATCGTCCAAAAAAATTTTTTCCCTACCACTCGTTATGGACATATTTTTTAGCTGCGGAGAAAAACGGGCGAAAAAAACTCCACAACATTAAAAGTCTAATGTAACAACATTTACAAATCATTATGTTGTTACAACGTCAATACAATTATGATTTATTTAATATAGAAAACCTGTTGGAATGATTGGAACAGTTCTAACCCAAGCATTTTTGTCTGTAATATAATCAGACACTTTGTAATAAGCTTTTTTAATAAGTGTTTTTTTTATAATATCTTTAAATTTATTTATGGCTAACTCTTGGATATTGCTTGGGACTTTATTGTATAAGCGAACAAAGGACAAAGACAAGACAGTTGGGCGGAACGATAAAATATTCTTGAACTTATTGTGGAATGTCGAAGCTCAGAATCTTTAACACAAGCTACTGCAATCTTTAACAAAATACCTAATAATATAAAGAGTTTGCCAATGACTATTTTTAAGAAACGCTTATAGACCAGGGTCGATAATTTTTGAGACCAAAAAAAATTATAGTAGGATGAAACCCATTAGAAAAGGTAGAGAATATAACAAAAATGAAAGGAAAAATAAATTACGGGCGATCTGAGGTCGGGAAGGGGGAGGGGGTGAGTTTCTAAGGGTAAAAAGTGGTTAATCTCGATTTCCGGTAAAACTGCAAGTCCTATGAAAAAAAGTTAAATGGCAAAGTTGTAGGTAATAAAAAGATCTACAACTTTTGTATCGACACTTTTTTCACATAACCTCAAAATTTATGTGAAAAATGCGAATAACCGAGTTTTTGGTTTTTGATTTTTATTTTTTGCAAAAAAAAAATATTTTTTCACGAAATCTGAAATCTTTTCCTTCCCGACCTCAGATCGCCCGTAATTTATTTTTCCCTTCATTTTTGTTATATTCTCTACCTTTTCTAATGGGTTTCATCCTACTATAATTTTTTTTCACTTTTCACCATTTTTAAAATTATCGACCCTGGTCTATTAATGAAACTGTTAATTGACAAAGTATATTATACTACACAAGAGTTTATTAGTGACACTTCCTTAAAAGAAATGAACATCATTACCTTATTAACTCATATTTTTAGCCTATTAAAGCACAATTTATTATTATTATTATATATTTCTAACTATGACTTGTTTGATTGTAATTGTAATATAATATTTTTTATTTTTATATAATTGTAAACCTGATTATTACTTAAAAAATATTGTATACTTACCTTTTAATAAGGTGGAAATGTAGTGACACTAAACTTTATACCTAACACCAAATTGCTGTACTAACCTACATTTCACAATAAATCATTTGAATTTGAAACTATTTTACGTGTTTAATTAATTACATGATATAATTAAACAAAACCATATGCACCGTGAACAACAAGTGAATCATTTTACAATATGGTATAACTTCAAAATTTCTTAGAATTGTCATTGCGTTTATTATTGTTTTAGTAACTGTATTGCAACCTATCCTCAACGGAAAAAAATCGTTGTATATTGCATTAGCACTTTTGTATGAATCACAACACCTAAATTAAACTAGGCATTCGTACAAATAATGTGATTTCTGAGATTAGTAAAGTGAGATTTTGAAAAGGTTAAGAATTAGATTAGAATTGGGAGCGCAGTGGACATTGACATTCTCTCGAAAAATTTATGAAGCATGGTTTTTGTTTTGTATTCGGTAGTGACATATTATTACATTTCACGTACCAAGAACTGAATAAAGCGTTTTTAATAAGCGAATGTCTAGATTCTACATTTATTTCCCCGTTTTAAACATTAACTTTCATGCGAATGTCTTCGTTGAATCTCATAATAAAAAATGTGCGGCGGGGAATGTGTTTCACAGTTTGACATTTTGTTACATGTTCTTCACCCTCTTTTCTCTCTCATAATCAGCTACTAAAACCAAATTCTCGGTGTCGTTTAATCTAAGTATTCAATGGGTCTCACAGGTGCACTTTGAGTTTTCTTTACGACTTCGCCTTAGAAATACGCATTTCACATGAATCTATAAATGAAAATACCTAATGCTGAATATATTGACATAAATTGGATTCGTTTTACTGTAAGGTGGTTGTTTTACAATAATTGAAGTTATCGATTTCATTTTGATGGCCACTTTAATCTGGAATTGCTTTCTTGATCTATTTTATCCTACTTCCTGGTTTTATTGTGCCATATCTTATTTAACGTCTTTTTGTCTTATATTTGTTCAAGTGTATGATTATAATCTTCGTTACAGTATTAAAAAGGTGATACTATAAATAGAAAGGAAAAAAATAAATATCAAAAAGGTTAGTCGACATCACTGGAGACCGAAGAGCTGGCAGCTACCTCGGACAAAGAATTAGTCTAGCTATTCAAAGGGGGAACGCTGCCAGTATCTTCGGAACCTTGCCTAAAGGGATTCCTTTTAGTAATATATTTTAGTTATTCTATTATATTTTTTAAGGTTTTTAGTTTAAGGTTACAGTATTTGTGTTATAACATGTTGTGTTAACAAATGTTTCTTTTGTTCCAGATAATAAACAAGAAATCTCGACAATAATCGCAACATTCCCGAACAATTGAAACAAGACTGATTTTTCCTAGACTTTAAGAGACATTCCTTCGACTATGAATTTGTGATCAGGAAAAGAGTTGAGACGACGCAAAGATGTTTAAACTGCTAGGGGGGTTGAGTGTATACTTTAAGTATCAGCCTATCAGGACAGATAATGCTGTGTTCAGGCTGCACAATGTGTTCACGACGGTGCTGCTCCTTACGTGTTCCATGATCATAACGGCGACGCAGTATGTGGGTCAACCTATCCAGTGTATTGTCAGCGGGCTGCCCGTTAATGTAGTCAATACCTTCTGCTGGATCACGTCTACATTCACTATGCCAGATGCGTTCGCTAGAGAGGTGAGTATTTTGCACTTTGCTTTGTTGTGTAATATCTTGGGTAGGTCACAATCTGCGATACGTCATGTTGTGTAAATCTATATACATCTGTACCTACCAAATGTATATTTAAAAACTCAATTTGAAAGCCGGACATATTATAATCATTTACTATAGTAAGTGCTTGTTTTATACAAGCAAAGTGTAGATACAAAGGTACTTATAAACGTATGTTGAGTTGTACAATAATTACATGATGATCACAGCAAGTCGAGAATTATCATGATGAACTATAATCGATGTCAGACTGCTTTTGAAACGGTTAAAACCGGTCTTAATTGTCTAATAAAGGTAACATCATTGTCCAATTGCCGCTAATTTTGCGATTGTAGGAACTTCAATTCTAAAAAATTGTTTTGTTGATTTGGAAGGTCAAATTATATTTACATAGGAACCCGTTTTTTCGTTATTTATCTTTTCGCCGTTGTTTAGGATTCATTGATATTTTTTCTTATTATTGCGCTCTATAGATCTAGAATGCAATAGGTATTGATTAATTTATATGATTTTTTAGAGTTCCGACGTCCAAGGAACCTTTATAGTTCGGTCATGTCCGTCTGTCTGTCCGTTCCCGGTTTTGCTTGGAGACTGTTAGCACTAGAGAGCTGTTATATTGTGAAGATATGTGTATCAATCGTGCTGATAAAACGGTACAAAACATTTAAAAAAAAAATAGGGTAGCTTCCTACGTTCATGTAGGACATGATTTTATTTTTCATCGTCTACCCCATCTTTTGGGGTATCGTTGAATAGGTCCTTTAAAATCACTTAGGGGTTCCTTAGACTATTTTTCGATTTAGGGATCCGATTGTGAAATATTGAACTTTAAAGTGCTAATTTTTGTTCGAGTATGGCGTCCCCCCTCTAAAAGCTAAACTATTGGCTTGAAATACCTGAAAAACATCATGATAATAGTGCATTTCATGAACTTTTAAGGAACATTATAACGGTTAAAATAGATTTGTTAGTTTAAGAGTAAAATTCCTTAGAAGAAAACATTAAAAGTGACTTAGACGAAGTAATTGCTAAATAATATACACTCTTTCCAAAATATATTGTGGTGACGACGAGCATCTATGGAACCCTACACTGTGCGTGGCACGACGCGCACTTGGCCGGTTTCATAATTTTTTGTATTGATTGAATATTTCTTTTTATTTCCGTATATTTTGGCCGGACACGCAATAAAAAAGCCCAACTATGTTTATCCGGACGCCTGGCAGCGTTACGTGTGGGAGAAATATAGGCGGGCACTGCAAATATTAGCGGAATAATAATAATAATAAACCAAACAAAAACCAGCCAAAGAGCTGAGAAGAAAAACACTCAAAAAATAATAATAATTATATTTATTTGTTCTCTTGAAACTGAAATTAACAAAAAAATATAGGTAATTTATACAAATACAATCGGTTAAGCATCAGCCATCATTAAGTATTTCAAAAGCTGCCTATTTGAAGTGTGAGAAGCTGGTGCCTGAAGTAGGCATTAAAGGCCTGCCCCTCTAGCATGACCACCGAAACGGGATATGATATAGCGATATATCGGCATTAACTGTCAGACTACTATGGAGTTTGACAGTAGTCTGACAGTTAATGTCGATATATCGCTTTATCATATCCCGTTTCGGTGGTCATGCTAGAGGGGCTCTAGTACAGGTCGCCAGGCTCCCACCCCAATTATCCTACATTGACATATATGTATTATAACATAACTTATAATTATTACCCATATTATTATTCTACTTCTTCCTCAATGATTTAGCGATCACTTAGTTTAGTGCTATTTGTCTATTAAACCTAGGTTATTTATACATTACAATTAACAAATACCCTTGTTGTTTTTAAATATATATACATATTTATTGTTTAGTTTATGCATGTTTTTATTCATTTGGTTGATTGCAGATACATGAATGTTTTTTAGACTCGTACCCAATTAGTGATTTTTCTCGGGTAATATCAGGTTTTCATTCCTTTCGCCCGTTTTGTTTCATTACCTAAGATTGAAGACTATTTCATCAATGTTTTTTCTTTCTTTATATGTTTTCTTTTTGGTAAATAAGGTTTACTCATGTTATTCAGCTGTGTACATTTTTGCTGGCCTTTGGCTGTTTAATGTACCTTTACAAATAAAATAAAATAAAATAAAATTACTGTTGAGTTATAAAGAGGGACTCCGTGCTGTCATAATTCATGGCACTCAACCATTCGTGTACCTTTACTTTGCAAATATTGAATATTTGGCTATGCCCTACCTTTAACAACGAAGAGCACTAAAGAATCCATTTTTTGCATGAGATCTCCTTCTATTTCATGGGGGTATAGCTTTAACAGATTCACAACTCAATTTGGTAGTATGTCAATTGGATAAATTACACTTCTTATAGTCTATTGTGGTAGAGTGACTTGTTCTTGTAGGTCAGACGTCAACGCGTAGAGTTATTCGGCAGTCAATTAGTTTCGTGAGACTTAATGAGTGTTAGTTATGCGTTTTATTGCTACTTAATTTGCCGCTGCTATATTAATTAACATTGTTTATTAGCCGGCGGCGGCGGTGGCGCAGCGGTAGGTATGATCTTTCTGACAGAGAGAATTTTTACGTTCAATTGTTGTAAACGCAGGCACGTCGGTAATGGCGGTGTTTGGTTGATTTTCTTTAAAGAAATATTTGGTAATATTGGTAACAATAATAATAATGTATAAATAATGAACTAAAATATTTTTTGTTTTATTAATTTAAGCAAAAAATAAAATAAAATAAATAAATATTTCCAATACTCTCGCCAATTAGCCTAGCCCCAAAGTAAGCACTGTAAGGCTTGTGTTATGGGATGCTAGGATAACGCATAGAATACATATACTGTACATATATAAGTATATTAATATGTAAATTAAATTAATATATAAATACATATTAAACATCCATGACTGGAGTACAAATGCTCGTATTCATCACACAAACATCTGCCCCCACCGGGATTCGAACCCGGGACCTCTCGAGTCGGCGACACCATGAAACCCGGCGTACAAACCACTCGACCACAGAGGTCGTCAAAAAATTTAGTGCTAGAAGAGACTAACAAACTCGTTTACTTTAATTACATAGACAATATTATGCTTGCCTCTTTTAGCCTTATATAAAAAAAAATCTTAGATTAAGTTTGCAACTTAATAGATAACTTTAGAGTTAGTACTCACTGCCTCTTTAAACTAAATTTTGGCAATAAAAAGTTATCCAACGTAATATTTTTACTCGAAAACGTCGTTAAAAGTCAAAATGAAATCATTAAAGCCTGTGATCGTCATGTTGCACGGGAGAATTTGGCGAGATAGTTTAGGTCCTGGGTTCTGAACCTGGGGGTAATTACCCCTCCGGGGGTAAATCAGCCACACTTGGGGGGTAATAAAGAACCTAATTATTTGGTCAAATCTAAATAATACTACTAAATAGAGCATGCGCTCCTTCTTGCTAGTGAGCCCGCGGGGTGCTGAGTGTGGGAAGCGGGGCGAGATTCTCTCCTGATGATGACATTATTAGAGACGAAGATGTAGCGGCCAAATTGGAATTTCTTGGACTGATGATAACATTTTAAAGTCGGGGTAAAATCTGTTTCTCTAATAGGTTACAGGGGTAGCAGTATTGGAAAGGTTAGGAAACACTGGTTTAGGTAGATACCAAAGAGATTTTAAAGCCTCTACTTATTAGTCTGATCTAATATTGATCAGAAATTTTAACCTTAAGATAACAATCACAATTATTGTCGTCATTCATTCATTATTTTCAACACAGTGATTACACTCCGCGCTCAATTCTGACGCAATATTTGGAAATACGTTGCGCATTGTAAAATAGCTCGCAGCTTGCCACACAATAACGGTCTTAAGATTTGCGACCACTGAGTTGTAACCCCCATTGAACTCTTGTAATTCTGGCCGAGTAACTGGTAACTTCCTTTCGTGTCCTTATGTGTGCTTATAAATTAGTACAGGACCACGACGCATTATGACGTTGTGTGACTCAGCAGGACATGATTGAATTGAATCAGTCATGACAATATTAAGTGTGTATGAGATGAGTTTCTCTAATGATTAAGAAATAATAAATTTACCTTTTAATAAGTTTAAAGTGCGTATAAAAACTTGTCTCCTTAAGAAAGGTACTATACAGTAGATTTTATAAATGATAAGGCACCTTGGGCTTAATATAATAGACTAAGTCGTTTTACTTTGCTAATTTGGTTGAAAATTGTTAGTTATACTTAACTTATTGTTAATTAATAATATTAATGTGATGAAATATGACATCAACACATGTTTTTAGTTTTTGATGTCATCTTTCAATTGACGACACTGTATGAAACAAAACAGGGAGAAAAAAATAGCCCTTGCTGAGTTTCTTGCCGGTTCTTCTCGGTACAAGGTCTCCCGCCGTAGATTTACGAACTGATGGCGTAGCGTTTGACTTTCACAAGAGCTTGTAACAGCCTAGACTGAATAAATGAGTTTGAGTTTGAATGCACTCGACGTCAAAAAAATCGCACCTCAGCCAAAATAACTTTTAAGCGTTATTATAATTGGGACCGTGACCTTTAGTGGGTATAAAAGGGTTATACAAGTTCAATAGGGGTTATTCGCTATCCAACCGTTGAATTGGGCACATGAGAAGATCTTTCACAAAAAAATCCTCTTGATCGCGCTCCCACGATTCTATGAGCTCGAAGAGGTCGTTTTGAAAAATGGGCCAGTATCCCTCAAGAAGAGCTCCTTAAAATCCACGAGGGAGCGTATAGAAGCCGTAAACCAGTCAAGGGGGTAACACTAGGTTTTAGGTTCGTTTTAAGAATCTTTTTGTATTTTTTGTGTAATGAATCTGTTCTTAATCAAGGGCTAATTAAGGATTTTTCTTGTTTTGTAAACTTTATTGTTTTTTACAATGTTCCAATAAATAATAATTTAATTGTTTTTTTTTTAAGTTTTTCATGGGCTTTCAAATGACACCAATATTGGTGGGGGTAAATGTGTGTGGTATAATAACGCTGGAAAGTTATTTTGGCGGAGATGCGTTTTTTTTGTCGCCGAGTGTACTTCGAGGAGACTTCTCTTTACTTGAGAGAATTTTCATAAGATTTTTTTAAATCTTAAAAAAATGAAGAGCCACGGGAGTTCAATGTACTTTACATATTTTAATTACTCAATATGTCTCATTCTGCATATGATCTTTGATATAGGAATATAAAACCCTCGTTGCTTTTGCTTATTATGAGCGGGGTAAAAACGACAAACTCACTTTCGACAGGAAACCAATTTCACAGTAGTTGAGTCAATTAAGTACTAGACCGGATTTACAGGGTACTTACGTAAACTACGTACTACGCTTATCATTCCACGGATAATAATGTCAACAATATTTTCTTTCAAAGAAGAAGTTATTTTACGCGAAAGAAATGCTATCTGTACCCTTAGTACGAGTTTGAGCTCACGAAAACTATCATAGTTATCGTGATCGTTAATATGTTAGTATGTCCATTTGGTGAAAAGAAAGCAAATATACTTCAAATTTAAGAAGACGCAAATGATTTAATGGTAGAATTTAAAAATTGTTTATTTGTATATTGTTTTAAACTTTCATGGTCACTAACATTATCTTTATAGATATAATTCTTCTGTGAGTGTGTATGTCACTGAACTTCTCTTAAACGACTGGACCGATTTTGATGAAATTTTTTGTGTGTGTTCAAGGGGATCTGAGAATGGTTCAGATTCACAATTTTGTCCGCTGGACAACCCCTATTTTTTTAGGGCGGTACGAAGTTCGCTGGGTCAGCTAGTAGAAATATAAGTTTTTTACGGGACTGTTACCATGTACCTTGTTTTTTAGTGAGATGTTTGTTTTCTGTTGCAAGCGCTAAACTAAAAACAAGGTGCATGGTAACAATCCCGTAAATAACTTATATTGCTATACTGTTTCATTGTATTGAAACGAAAACAATAAAATCAGAACCCTTGGTACGAGTGCGAGCTCACGAAAACTATCATAGTTTTCGTGATTGTAAAACTCGCACTAAGGGTACTGTACGTCTAGGTTTTCATTTCTATGCGTATAAATTAAAATTATTATGAACATAGCTTATTGCTAGTTTAGAAAATTTTGAAGCCATTGAAATTAAGAATTCAAACTAATTTTATAGTCCATTGTATTCAGATGTGTAACAAAAACACAAATATAATAAATTCAAAGTAAAAAAAAAAAACTTTTATTAAAATACACTTAAAAGATAAAAATATCCTTTGAAACGTATAACGTCATTACACAATTATTTATATAATATGAAAGTCATATAACTAACCATGCATTGTCATCCGAACTAAACGTGTGTACAAAATTTTAGCTCAATCGAATGAAGACATCTACTTCAAAATTGAGTTGCAAGATTCCACCCAAATAAATATACCTACATTGCAAGTTAAATAAAAGCTTTAAAAAAAGCGATCTAGTGTGATCGGATCGGACACGAAGGGTTCTGTATCATCCTACAAGTTTAACACGCTACGTTTCTCCACAACATATTGGACGAAACATTGTAATATTTTATTTTAACTTATTATAATAATAAGTCTCTATCTAGGAAAAAAAAATCTTCGCAATAAAGCTGCCACGTGGACGACGTGGCAGCTTTATTGCGAAGATTTTTTTTTTACAATAGATGTCGCTAGGTGCGCTTAAATGTGATTCATGCAAGTTGATTTTTTTGAGAGATAAACTTTTTTAATGTAATGTAAATTGTCATGTTTGTGTACGATAGCGCAATAAATAAATATTGTATTCTACCACATACATGATAATACTTTTATACTGATAATTAAAGCAATTCGTGCAAAATTATTCCCTAACCATTCCAAAATATCAAAAAAGCACAACGTTAATATTCAAGTTTTCACTTCTGCCGGCACTCCCGGAGTGCAACCCGTCGTTTTTTATTATCTGGCTCTATAGCGGCAATACAACATCCTGTGAATTGCTGTCAACATTATTATTTTTACCTATTCACAGTCACTATAAATGACTGTATTGAATAATTATGTTACATACTATTATCGTAGGCAATGTCGCTGGATATACAATAAAACCTTTTAAGTGTCAGGAGATATTACTAGTCAAAGCTAACATTGTGTAATTGTTTGTTGTTCCAAATCAAATAGTTAAATAGCCCACTGTCAGAAGGACAATGAAGGATTCCGCCGCGGACGCCCGGATAGCGAAGGATGCGAGGAAGGAAGGGTTCGAGTCCCGTCTGCTGCCTGGTCCGCGTGGATTTTTTTCTAGTAAACTTTTCTTTAGATTTAAACATCTAGCAGTTAAATGCTTAAAAAATAAATTAAATAACTATAATTGCTATTTCTTCTTTCAAATGTTTAATACTTGAAAAAGTATTCATTTGACATTGTGGGTTACCTACAATGCGAAGAGATGGCGCTGCATTGCAGCTTAAGGCTAGGAAAATTTCGACGCGGCTAATAGGGCCGTGGTAGCATAATGGTCAGTGCATTCGCCCGGATAGCGAAGGATGCGGGTTCGAGTCCCGTCCGCTGCCTGGTCCGCGTGGATTTTTTTCTAGTAAACTTTTCTTTAGATTTAAACATCTAGCAGTTAAATGCTTAAAAAATAAATAAAATCATAATGAAGGATTCATTGAAAGTTTCGTAACCACTCTTTGGATACGGAAAACCTAAAAAAACAAGTATCATATTCACAAATCACTATTCCACACTTAACTATATGCAGTAAAACATCACAGTAATGAATAAATTCTTAACCCAATATCGATTGCTGTAGTAAACATTGGAGTTTAGAATTTCAAATAAATCTCGATATACCAAAGTGTTGGCGTTATTTTATGTATGAAGGCTAAATTGTTTACTGTTTACGAGGAATTGTGGTTTCACAATATTGAGATGGGATCATGTAATTTTGATGATCTATCTAGTCTCGAATTCGTTTCCGCGATCATAATACGAATGTATGGAATCGAGAAATCTTATTACCTTAGAATTGAATTAAATTTAAATAGGAATAATAAAATAAATATATGTATGGATTGACTAAGCGATGGACGTAAAAGCATATGATTATCATTTATGAATATTTGATACGTTTTGTTCGTTGTTTGTATTATGCTGTACTAGCGGCTCGCCCTCGCTTCGCTTCGGTGTAGAGCTGAACTGTAGACTACAGTTTTTGTTTTCAGGCTTGTATTATACACAATGACATTCATCTATGATTCTCTTATACCTGCATGCAAAGTCTCAGCCCGATCGGTTTAAAATTGACAAAGTTTCATACAAACTTTCATTCCCTATTTTATCCCCTTGGACCCCCAAGGAAGAATTGATCAAAATCCTTTCTTAGCGGATGCCTACGTCATAACATCTACCTACATGTCAAATTTCAGCCCGATCCGTCCAGTGGTTTGGGCTGTGCGTTGATAGATCACTATGTCAGTCAGTCACCTTTGAGTTTTATATATATATATATATAGATATTATGTTGTCTGCTTTTCTTAGCTATTAGGATCATTTATTCTAATATCACGTATTAAACTATAACTCAAATATGATGTTATAAGTTTTTAAAATTCTACAATCGAGGTATTATCCAGCCTTTAAAAGATATTATTGAACCCAATCGCTAAAACTACCGCTGCACTGGTTCTTATTTACAGGCCCCAATTTCATGATTTTTTTAACACCTTTGATTGTTACGGCTTTCTCTCGCAAGTTCGGTTTTAATTCATATTTACTGTTACTGAATGAATGTGTTTTACAGGTGGGCAAGGAGGTAGCACATCCAGGCGTGGCCAATGAGTATGACAGCTCAAGCGAGAAGAAATACTACACGTACTACCAGTGGGTGTGTTTCGTGTTGTTCTTCCAGGTAAACAACATAAGATATTTTTTTACATAACACATTATATGGAGAGCGATTTTTATAATTTTTATCCATATTTCTTAAAATTTTCATTGTTCTCAAAAAATCTTAATACTTATATATAAATTAAGCGTCACGTTGTTTGTCCGGGATGGACTCCTAAACTACTTAACCGATGCAGTTCGATCCAACTTAAAAGATAGGACAGCTTACATCTCAATTTTTTAGTCGCAATATTATTTTATTGCATATTATTACTTTTGGGCGGTACGAAGTTCCCAACTTCAGCTAGTTTCTCTATAGTTTCTTAAAGTAATCCATTGCCTAACAATTCAATAATTAGTCTTTATGCAAATTCAATACGAGCTGTAGCTTTTGCACCTTAGCTCAAATTTTCTGTTAGCCTTTGTTTCATCATAAATTTTGAATCGCTATTAAGGTTAGTACTTTTTTGCTATGCCAAAAACCGCATTCTTTACTTCGCATTGAGACACCGTTCTCTAATTATGTTTATTAATTATCATAACGTGTACGGAAATACCACTACCGTGTACGCTAATATCTTTTCTGAAGTCATCAAAATAAATGAAATCACTAATATTTTTATTACTTAAGCCAGTGTTAAAGTATTGTTTGTCGAAACTAGTTCAGTCCAAAGTCCGTGTGTACTTAGACCATTATGCTGATCAGCACTATAATTATATGTCTACGATTCGAACTAACAACGCGATCACGAAGTGGCGGCAATGCCAATGGTACTTTTCGACATAACGGTACGGCCAGACAGTGGTAACTTGTGACGTAGTTACCGTAACACCGAATCCTTGGAGTGACCCACTGACGCTTTGTTTGGACACGTTTTATGATGATGACTATTTAGACGGGTAATCAGGTGAGTTTAGGCATTTACCCCAGACGGCGTCCGATGAATCGGTACCGGTTGTAGGTATCCGGTGCGTAGAAGCTATTCTGGTAAAAATGATTCATTTTAATTTATGATTCTGATAAAGCCTTCGGCAAACAAGTTCTATGGAAAAGTGAACGCCATCTCAATAGCTGGATTTTCCGATTTTTGAAGTGAAAACTTCTTTAGCGGCGTTTGTACACTTTTTTTGTATGGGTAAAAATGTTAAACTCGCGTCAGGTTAAACACGTGGGATGATCGCATCATGACACACAATAAAATTGGAAAGGTTGTTGACTTTCAATATATTGGACGAAACATAGTAATATTTTATTTTATCTTATTATAATAATAAGTCCTAGATAGAGATCTAGGTCGTCCACGTGGCAGCTTTATTGCGAAGAAAATGCATTTTTTTTACAATAGACGTCGCTAGGTGCGCTTAAATGTGATTCATGTATGTTGATTTCTTTTCAATAGATGTTGCTAATTGCGCTTAATCGTAATTAATGTAAGTTATTTTTTCTGAGAGATAAACTTTTTTAATGTAATATAAATTGTCATGTTTGTGTACGATAGCGCAATAATTAAATATTGTATTCTACCACATACATGATAGTACTTTTATACTGATAATTAAAGCAATTCGTGCAAAATTATTCTCTAACCATTCTAAAATATCAAAAATGCACAACGTTAATATTCAAGTTTTCACTTCTGCCGGCACTCCCGGAGGTTATTTTTTGTAAATTTTCTTTAGATATAAAGCTTTTGTGCTTGAATTATTAATAAGTTTTATAACTATAAAGTGAATAATACTTAATACGTTTCAATTTCATTAAAAGATATTTTCAATCATCAAACTTAATAACAACTTATCAAATTGTTATTTGGACATTTTTCAAATGCTTAACTGAATGGTAATATACGAGACAAACACAACATAAGAGGGAAAGAAAGTTAATTTGTAACAACATGGTGTAGTGAAAGAAAAATGTTAAGTGATAATTGGACGAGTACCAAATCGAAAGAGTTTTGTACTGCCCCCTGTAAGACAAGACTCGGGAATCGCTCTCAACCTATAATACTATTCGAAGTGATTTCGACATATTTAAAAGTCCTAAAGCTTCAACCAGAAAATGATTTTGATTAAGTTCTATTAGTTTTTATTAGTTATAACTTTAACTTTTTTTCATTAGGCATTAGGCATTGAGTTTAACCCATATGTACTTACTCTCGAAAGCAATGAATCCGGGACACATAAAGAAACCTAAAAATATCGCAAACTAAGAATGTTAGCTTAATGATATAAGTTGTTTAATAGACAATCAAATACTCCTTAAATGAAGATATTAAGATATATTAGAAATGCATGTTGTGCTTGCATCTATAGTAGTTATGTTTTCTTTGTATGCTTAAATTTACATGGATATTCTATGTAACCAGTTTTGTGAGCCAAATATGCCAAAACAATGTGCCAATATCAGCATACAAATATTAATAAGAGTTGAAGGGGCAGATTAATATGACCCTTGTGTAAGTTCTAAGAGGAAACTTATTGCATTCACACTGTTTAGCAATGTCTACATCATGAAACATGATTACATTGTTCACAGGCAATAATGTGTTATACGCCCAAGTTCCTGTGGGATACCTTCGAGGGCGGACTCCTACGCACAATCGTGATGGGTCTCAACGTAGGCGTGTGCCACGCTGAGGAGAAGGAGAAGAAAAAAGACGTGCTCATCGGATACCTTTTAAGGCATGAAAAGGTAAGGAATTGCTTTGTCAAGATAGGTTATAGAATCGTCCAGCTGAAAGAGATGGGGAAAAAGATGTTTTAATCGAAATAATTCACGTTATGAATGAAAATCGCGCTCTGAATAACTTTCATAATGTTTTAGTATCTATCGATAGGTAGTGTTGTAATGCAACATAAGAGATTATCTGCTGTGGATTGCTAATAATAAACGTCAATTATTAATATCTGGGTTGGATGCGACTGTCTCTGATCCATGATCACGATACAGTTTTTGGTATACAAAATTTGATCGGATCGTTTTTGCTAGCTCATCAACACTTTACGGATTGACAAATAAAATTTTACCATTTTTGGTATTCGCTCTCTTAATCTCATGGAGTAAATTGTATGAAGTAATATTTTGTATGCATATCGTCATCATTACTGGTCGGCAATAGGCGCACGGAATTCACATCGGAGGGGGGCACATTGTTATTCACATCCCACAAATCGTCGCTACTGGGAATCATTCTCAGCGCGGCGTCCATCCGTGAGTTGGTTAAGTAATGCAGCTGGATTCGTTGTCGGCCATTTAGGGATGTCGAAAGTTGAAAAAAATATCGATATATCGATACATCGATCTTTTAAAAAATATCAATATCGGCTTCGATATATCGCGAAAAAAACATCGAAATATCGATATATCGGACCAATTTTCCCAAAAATATCGTACGTTACGTACGTATAAGTATCTCACGAAATATGACACGCGGAATAATAATGGCACGAAAATTATCTCCCTAAAAATAGACCCTATTTTCGAATGATGAAAATGATTGCAGGGCCTCTCAGGTAAATGCTAATAATAAAAAAATATCGTTTTTGATACGAATTTCGATATTGGTTATTTTATATCGATGTATCGATATATCGAATCAAAATATATCGGCAAAAAATGTCGATATATCTAACAAAAAATATCGATATATCGCTACATCGATATATTTTCAACAAGCCTACGGTCATTCCCGCCGGTGTACCCTGCCTGCGCGTGAGTTGAGCGCCGTGCGGCTTGGTAAATGTGCCGCTGTCATTTAATCCGTGGTTTATGTTGAAAAATTGCTTCGTGACTTCATTAGTAGTAAAGTCGTAGAACACTGCTTTAATAAGTTTTGATTCCCTTTTACTAAATGAAAAAAATTAAGTAACAAATTACTGTGTTGTGTACGATTATAACACATTGTCGAAATATTTTACCCTGACTTTAACGCAATTTATACTTGCAAAATTTTTCCTTGTACTCTAGAGATTTTAATCTTTGAAAAATTTTAGCCGCCGCTGCCTCGGCTTTAATGTTCTTTTTACTAGACCTCCTATTCTCTTCTAATGGACTGTGACATATGAATAAACGCCGCCATAAGGCACAATGGTCATTAACATATCATATAACTGCGTTATCATCATCATCGTCATGAGCTATGTCTGCGTCTCGGGTAATGAACTCCTTTTTTCGCGGAATGTGAAGGTTATCCATCTCTATAAATCCTAAATTACCATCACTGCATTAAGATCTAGGTTTGAATTATAAACGAAATAAAGTTTGGTCATGAAACTTATACCTATCGCAAAGACGTTCGGATAATTTAAACATTTTGATACTGTTCAAATCCCAAAAAAGTCTGTGAGTTATTTAGGTAAATAAAACACCGAGATCAATGGCAAAGGTTGTCCATGTCAAAATAATATTGAACTTAAGCGTATTCAAAACAAACCAAATATGTACCGTGATTTAGAACAATCATAGAAAAATATAGAACACAACAGTAATATTATTACAAACTTAACAAATACTTCAACGTAACATTAACAAATAGAATTTTGGATATCTCTCAATGCATGATTGTTTTTTTTTGTCTAATTTGTGAATATTGTGAAAGAGTACCTACAGCATGTAAATTTGTTTCAGAATATTTCTATACAGGCCTTCTTACTCCTCGCGGCAATTTTATTCATATTCGCCTATTATAGTTATAGTCTAGACCTTATAAGAATAAATTGCCGCACCAATTTTTCATAATGGCTCCATTACTTTTGTCGTTAAAAGTGCATACGAACAAATCATCTATATCTTTCTCTGTTGGCGCGGCGTCTTGTACAAATAATGGAGCAATGTTTACTTAAAACTCATCTATATACAAACGTGGTCATTATTCAGTATGAATGTGTCATTATTCAGAATACCGGTTGGCTATAATGAGATAACCTCTGCGATTGCTGCTCTTTGGTATATTGTGTAATTTACTCGTAGAATAAATACTGCGTCTTTTAATCAAACGCTATTGTGTGAGACGTGTGTAATCTGTAGATCGCATAACGTTGAACAAAACGCAATTGGTATGTGTTTCCTGCAATGTCCAACATCTGTACTATTTAATCGTTTAATTAATACGTTTGCATTAGTTCAATTCTAAAAAGCATCAAAAATATTCTTTAGAATTAATTATTTGTGGTATAAACGGTCTTGTTCGCTCTATGCGTCTTTTATTACTGACGATAAAGTCCTTCATTTGCATTTTAACTCAGCGTTACTCTGAAATTTATAGCGTGGTGGAATATTTATTTTCCATTTTTACCTACCTACCTACCTAGTACCTACCTACCTAGTACCTACCTAGGCAGGTATTTATTGACATTTTCTTAGAAACAGAGCGGGGCAAAAATCGTAAGTCGCGACAGAAGGCTTGATCGGGAAACGAGCACGTTCTATTTTTTGTACTCGGTCAATGCCCATAGTTCGTTGCTCGATTGCGCAACACTTACCTTCACTGCATTGCTTGTACACCGACCACTTGACATTATAATCCCTAGAGCTCGATGGATCGCAGCCCGTAATGGTTAGCATCAGTTTTTGCGCTCCGACAAAGCTGCTTTTCCGGTTTCGAAAGTATACGAGTACTTACTTCTTTATTGTACTGTTCGTAGTACCTAGTAGGAAAGATTTTAGTCGTGCTCAGAAGTCGCAGCACAGTTTTGAAAGAATAAGTGCTCTCACCTGCTTTGTTATGACTAATTTCAGAGTAACAGGTGTTTTGACCGAGTCACAATTTTCTTGGTTTCATTCCAGAAAATTTACTGTACCAATCAACTTGATCAACTTTTTAGAACGCTTTATTTAAATTGGCGAATAGGCTAGTTGACTCATGTCAAATTGCATTATTCAAATGTTTATTTCTTATAATTTTTGGTATGAGGAACCTAAATACATCGATTTCACTTCATAAAATTAGAAGATGGCTGTAGTAATTCAATTTGAAAAATAGTTTTTTAGTCTATGCTTTTTAAACACTAAAAACGCTGTCCACCATGATTGTGACGTCAACATAATAGCAAACAACTAAACGTCATTGTCGTGTTACTGTGGTTTCTTTCGTCCAACTAAAATATATCTAAAAACTCTTATATCTTGAAGAAAAGTTTCCCTTTATTGGTTTTCTTGACTAAATTAATGCTGGACGCCGGATTTGTGAAAGCAGAAACGACAAAACTCTTTTACTTAGCAGGTACATTCATAACCTTCAAAATTGAAACCACAACATTTCTGGAGTCTTTAACGATGTGTTTCTTTATTCTCGTATAATACAATCATGATAATTACTATATTTCTCATGAAATCTATTAGAAATCATGGTTTTATAATGTAAATTCAGATAGGTTATATCCTACGTGCTTGCGAGTGTTTGTTTACTATTTTGTTCCCGTCATACCATAGATAATCTATAGACTAAATGGCCGACAGCGTTTTTGTATGTCCATGAAAAATCTATTTTAAAATTAAAGTTTTGTAGCTTTCTAGGTAAAAAAAATACAATACATTTTTTCGGTCTAATTGAACAATTATTAACCATTTAAAAACATATTTCCAAAAAGTGTCAACTAGCCTATTGCAACAGTTTGCAAAGATCACTTGAGTAGCTCGCTTCAAGTATGGTGCTTCCTGTCATCTGGCGGATGTGGCAGTACCTTATAGGCAGGTGGAGTATTAATTCGCTTATAAACCAGCTATTAAGAATCAGTTACTATATAGTTTATAGCAAAATGACCCTTATTGAGTTGTTATCATGGTCATCCTTATTGTTTTTGTTTGTCAATGTTTTCATATCACCGACCCGATAAGTGTGCCTCACACAATGTATTTATAATTTACCAATGTTTGATTAAGAATAGTGATTTTCCATAGCACATGAGTTTCGGATATTTCAGTAATTTTCTTTAAAATGTTTGGCCTTATTGCCTACAACAATAAGTCTCATATTAACTTTATGTTTAACTTATGAAGTGATGATTTTTTCGGGTCGACCTTCGCAATATCAGGAATCTAACCTCTGTGTAAATAGCTGTATTTATCAATGTTCTCTGACCAAAATTTGTTTTATAAAAAACATATCATAATTTGTTGAGGTCATTACTTACATTTTTTTTGCTGTTGTTTATGAATAGATTTGTTTGAGTTTTATGTCCATAACTAAAACACTAAATAAATTATAGCGAAACAAAGACAGGCAGCAATCTCTTTATTGTTATTATTTGTTTACGTGTGTGAGAGGCGGTTGCGCTACTGGTGCTGTAACTACCTAATTTTTCAAAAATCTTCTATTGATTAAAAAAACTTGTCTAATATCGTAATTCATGTTTGAATTGTATGCCTTAATTTGGATCAGAATCGCAGAAGTTATCTTGGGCTAACTGAATTGATCAGTTCCACTGTCGGGCCTGTGACCGCTTTTTTTACATTCGAGACGGCTGCTTTTTGTCGCGCTAAACTAACGGGACCAGACATTTGCCATTCAAACGGAGCGGTCGGCGTCGTCTTAGCTACTCAGACATTACCAATTCATCTATCAATTAAATACTTACTGTTATCTTTGCTTCTTGCTTCACCGTGAAAATTAACTAAATTGTCATTCTGTAGAATCGCCGAAGGAAGATGATTAAATTACCTACTTTTCCATTCAATGCCTCTGTAGCGTGAGA